GGCTGCTGCAGGAAGAATGCTTTCTGTCATCTGCTGCTCTTAGATCAAAAAAGGTTAGCACCAAGACAGCCGACAGCAGTGACTTCATTTCTCCTGCTCGGCGAGCCCTCTCAGGAACGTACTGAGAAGGGAGAGAGACTGAATGCGCTGAAAGGAAGCAGCAGGTCAGCAATAAGCAAAGCCTTTGGGCCAATGAGACATCACTGACACTTCACCAAGGCAGCGTCACCCTCTGCACAACCCGCTTTGTTGTAGTTTTTTTACCCAAATGAAAACCCGGTTGGTTAAGGCCCCGGTACAAATCCCTGGGGGGCATTGGTGCAGCTTTCAGCTGTTTTCCCCTTCTTCAGTCATATGGCATTCGTGGTGTTTGGGGGTTACTTGTGGCCATAGTTCTGCTAAATATAAAGACACAGACGCATGAAGGTGTTACAGCTGGAAGTCCTACGAGAGCAACCAGACTGCTTCCCTTGGGCTGATGCAGGGTTGAGCTCATTAGCTAGCCTTCTGGCCAGTCTAGGGTTAAATGTCCCCAGGCCTCAGGTTTCCACCCCTTTCCTGGGAAAGTGTATTCCTCTGCCCCATTCACTAACCCCTAGGAGTGTTTTCAGCTTAATTCCATCCCCTGACCCCTAGTTCTGTCCTCTGGATAAATAATGCCACCCTAAATAATTCCACACCCCAGCCTGGATGTTTGAACACTTCCAGAGTTTGCAAAGAATTCGCAAGATCCCATTTACAAGCTGGCCACTCAGAAATCCTTTAATCTCTCTTTGTCAAACAGCCCCCCAACAACCCCCTGACTAGTTGATTGTTCTTCCCTGCTGCATTCCTTCCACTTTCTCCCCCTGTCTCTCCCTGGTGCCATGGAGGAAGTGACAGCTAGTGTTGCTTTTCTGGTGGTGGTAATGCGTGGCTCACTTTCTCTTTGTCACCAAACTTTGCCTGAGCCCAGCCCTGCGGTGCTGAATCAATGGGAGTGGTGCCTGATTAAGGCCTGCAGAATCAGACCCCAAGCGTTGCTCAGACAGTCTGCGTCTCCAACAGGTGAGGGATGGGTTCATTGGGGCACCTAACTCCACTAGGCTCTGTGGACAATCACAGCCTCTCCTAACAAATGCTGTTCCATGACACAATGGCCTCAGCTGGGACAACTGAGTGCAGTCTGTAGACTTCGCTGGAGCTGCCTGATTTACACTAGCTGGTGATCTGGACCCTTGTGTTTCGACTGAAGCAATCAGGCAGCTGGTCAGTGTATCCTGAATTCTGTAACTATCCTCAGGAAATCCAGGCTTTATTAATTCACCAACTGCTGGGGGGTGGATCTGGGCACTAAGCACAAATCCATCATAACCTCCCCCTGCCCACCTCCAGCTCTTCTGTCCAAACTCCCCCCATGTTCTCACATTTGTATGGCAGTTAGCGCTCTGCCCCCTTCCCTTTAGCTACAAGAAGCTCCCCCCTCCCCCCGCCCCGGGCTCACCAACGTGCACTAACACATGGCAGGCACCTTGCTCAGAGCTAAAAGTGCAAGGAAGGGTTAGCCCGGTGGCTGCAGGCCAGGCACGATCAGCTGACTGGCACAATTCCTAGCTGCACTAAGGCAGTTCGGATCTATCTTTGTGAAATTTCAGTCACCTCCAGGTAAATCAACAGATCGGAGGAGCAGACTTGCAGTTATATTGCCCGTGGGGAGAAAACCACTTAGAATCTTAAGGCTTGAAAATGGTCCAAGCAAACATAACCCTTCCCTTCCACGCAGCACAGCACACACTGAGGGCTTGGCTCTACATCTGGCTCAGATACACAGAGGAAAGTTCAGCCTGCCTCAGAGGGGCACAAATGGAGCAGGCTGCTAGTGAAGGGAAGACAGCAGGTCAGTGGCCTCTGTGAAATGAGTTGGCAGGTCTCAGTACATAGATCTGCTGAGCATGGTATAAGAACTCCTATAGAATAGAATACAATAGCCAAGTAAAGCACCAGGTGGCACCATTCCAGGCAGTCGCTGCTCTTTCCAGGTGGATGGGTTTTATATTTGCTTAAACCTGGGTCGTCGTCCCCCCCAAAACCTCCTACCTGCACAGCTTTCAGTGCAGAATCAGGACCTGCATAGCTCTGTGCCTCAGTTTCCCCAGCTGCAAAATGAAAATAATATGCCACTTAATTACCTTCCGAGGCATTGTGGGGCTTAAGTCATTACTGTTTGTGCAGCCCAACAGAAAGGCAAAGAAATAATAAAAGAAGAAGGAGCGAAGCTCTCAGCACGAGGAAGAGCCTGATCCTGCATATTTTGCCTACTCAAAACACCCTATGGAGTGGAGCAATACAGAAATGCAACAAGTATCGGTTTAGTCTGGGGCTGTTCCATGCAGTATTGTATTCTATTTCAAGTCTTTCTGGATTGTCTATTAATGATGATTTCTGTCACAGTCCAGTCCTGCAAACGGAGGTGAGACAGCTTCCAGGACCAGCCCCTTAATGGGGACAGAGGCTGACCTGGGGTAGCAAGTTGACTAGCAAAGTGCCCATGGCCCATGGAAATCCACAGGAAACTTTTCATTGGCTTCCCTGTGCTTTGGATCAGCGCTTCAGTGAATCGGCCTGTACTGTTCAGAAGAATTGCATTCAAGTCGAACACATCAGGAATCTGCATCAACATACCGCGCCTCCCGTAAGGCGCCTTCCGATACAATTTTACACACATGATTAATATAATGGTTTCAAATCTCACCACTTTTATTGCCCTTTATTGCACTTGTTTTATGCATGGTAGAGAAAGGTTCCTTTAGACCCACGAGCAGATCAGGGTCCAGTGTCCAGTCCTATCTCATTGCAGATATAACCTCTGCGTTACAAAGCAAAACAAAGTATTCAACACTAGCTATTTTGTTCAGTGTCTTCATCTTCTCAAATGTATACAGAATTTTCCCAGAACAGGTGAAAGACACAGATATATCAAAGGGAGACAACAAGACATTTTTAGCAGGTCCAACTGAACCTATATTTCCAGCTTGCTGGACAAAGCATATTCTCTGGAGAGAAGAGGGTCTGGCAGGTCATAGCGTCAAATGTCACTCTCGATGCTTTTTTCTGGCACTGCACGTGATCACATTTAAAAAACAAAACCAGATTAGCACCAGTAGACAACTGATCAACTCTTGTATTTATTAGGAATCCAAATATTGATCACGCCATATCCTGATCCTGCAATCAGACCCACAGACCAGAGCACCTGTGAAGAATCTTGATGTCTGGACTAATGTAACCCTAATTTATGCCCCTTCACCTGCTACGCGAGCAGATCTGATTGTACAAGCAGGCCCTCCAGCAGATGAACCCGTGCTTGCCTTTGGAAAAAGCCTTCTGGTTTTTTTATTCCCCAGATGATGAACCCGTTACACATTTCTTCGCTTTGTTAAAAGCTGACAATGTTCTGCAGTGTGGATCCTGCAGTGGATTCACTCCAGGCTAACATACTGTAACTGAGAGCAGGTTGTGGCCCTCAGTGTCTGGCCCATTTCTATAACACCAGATATTTCACTTATATTTGTCAATTAAGGGGGGAATTTTCAAAAGCTCTCTGCATTGGCCAAACCCTGCTCCCTTTGAAATCAATGGGAGTTTTGCCACTGGCTTGAATGGAGAGTGGAGTTAGGCCAGTCAAAACTGAGTGCATTTGAAAATCCTACCCTATATATCTAATGACGAGCCTGCCCCATTGTTATGGGGTAACCTAATGACTGACCATACTGCAGTGCACATGAGGATGGTGGAATGGTTCCTGTGGGAGCCTCTTCAGGGGTAAGTGGCTTTCAGATCCCAGCTTTAACTGTTGCATTTAACATAGTTATTGGCTTTTAATTCCCCTGGTTTAAGAGAAAAAAGAAAATATTTGAAAGCCTCTTGAGTAATAAAATCTCATGCTTCAGGGCTGCTGCTGATCACTGATAGGGTCAGGAAGGACACTTCTCGCCAGATCCATCACTGAACATATGATATTATGGGAGGGAAGGGTGCTTCCTTTATTGGATTTAGGGTACTCATAGATCTATGGCTTGCCATAGTTTGGTATGTTGCCCTTTGCTTTGAACAGGTCAGCTTGCCATGGAACCAGCATGTCAGGCGTTCCAGGATGGATGCAATTTAGAAGGCTGATCAAGCTTTTCCCTGGCTGCTATCCATGATAAACAGCAAAGGGATGAAAAGTTAAGGTGGCTTAGAAGGCTGGCGAGGGTTGTCGAGCTGTGCTTATCTGCAGTGAACTTTCCCGAAAGCTCTGCAGTAGGCACAGAAAGGTGCTATCTATGATACCTGCAAAGGTCTCGTGGGCTCATATGTCTCGTTTTCCTCCTGTAGATTTCCCTAGAGATACTGATCCCCACCTCTCGCCAGGCCATGATGGGCATTCCGCAGAGAAATAGTTTAATTTACCTGTATACGATTCTCTTGTCCGCCCCTTGCATGAAATCTCATTAGTTCTGACGAGATTCCAGGATGTGACATCACAAATACCGGAGGCTACATTGCAGCCTGGGTAATCCATGGTATTCGTGATGTGGCCAAAAGATGCATTCTGGAATCACCTCAGAGAAGCAGGAAGTACTGCGAGGCTTTCCAAGAGGGCTAGAAAGAATTTGTAAAGGGTTAGTTCTTATTATGTCCTGCAGTAGCGCTTAGAAGGCAGGGCCCTGCTGTGCTGAGCACCATTTCTCTGTTGAATGCCTCCCACAGCAGCTTGATAAATAATCACACTTACAGAATGCACTTCATCAGTAGATCTCAAGGCATGTTACAAAGATGAGTCACTATCATAATCCTCAGATGGGGAAACTGAGGCATGCCGCATCTGAGCGACTTGCCCAAGCTCACCCAGTGAATCAGTGGCAGAGAGAAGACCGACACCGGGGCTTTGTTGCCCTATTCACATGCCTATGCTGCATACCCTCAGGGCGAGGGCATAAGGGATCTAAATCGCTGCTTAGCTCAGGTTTCATCCTTGATTTGCAGTTCACCTTTATGCACCACTATTAAATTACCCCTTTCCATTTCACACTCACTATTCAACCTGCATTAACCCCCCTTTCACCTGACCAGACATCAATTCCAAGGAGTCTAGCACGGCTGGATCCACCACCTCTGGCTCCTGCCCAGCCAGGACGCCCAACTACTCCAGGGCTGGCAGCTCTAAAGCATAGCAATGTTGAGCTGTTAGCTAGATTCTCATTAAACCAAGTTAAAACCCTGCATGGGGCCCAGCCTACACTCTGGCCTCAGAGAGGCATATCTCCCCTCTAACACTGTCGCCCTTTGCTCTCATTCCACCTCCCCCCACATTGCTTCTGCTCCCTTCTCCCCTGAACCAGCCACATGTTTCTCCCCACCACAGACTGCTGAGCAGCCTCACTCTCTGCACCGCAGATAGTCCTTCCCCCTGGGTGACTGGTCCCTGAGGGCTGCTCCTGTTTCCTCTCCTCTTGTGGGGCAGTGGCTCCTAGGAGAGGCAGCTGGGCTGGTTCTGCTTTGTTTCCAGCCTCTCTAGTTGCTTCCTCGCACTGAGCCTGACACCTGCAGAACAGCTGGAAACCAGCGAGCCCGTGACCAGGGAGCTGTCCGCAAAGCAGCAGCAAGAGCTCTGCACCACCGCCCTGGACTCTGGAGTTCAAACACCCCTGGGGCCCGATCCTGTGAGGTGTGCTCAGACGTACAGTTCTTCACCTGAGCAATGCCCCTGATGTCAGTGGGATTCCTGCGGGGGGCAAAGGCCACTCGCGCCGATGAGGGCCGCGGGATTGGGCCTGCAGGCTGGGTCTAGCGCCAAGCTGGAGCATGTGATGTGCTTTCTACACCAGCGGACTGCCTGCATTTTGAATGTGGGCAGAGGCAGGACCTCCCCTGGCCACAGAGTCAAGTTTAGAACTTGTGCAAACACAGTTTCTGTAACCAGGTTACCAGCAGCAGCTCTGATCGTTTACACTGGAAGAAGTTTAATAACTGATTAATTCCCTTCTCACTCTTCCTACTGCTCGCTTATTTTCCACACCTCCAGGGGGTTGGACTGGATCCCTTTGTTCCAGCACTGACCATCTGCTGAGCACTAAGATGCAACTTACTAAATACATCACTAAATAGCCACTGCCTCCCATGCTGACCCATATCATCCTATTGTTTCCTTGTGCCCCCTTGTCTGCCTGCCTGTCTGTCTCCACCTGTTGTCTTTTGTCTTATATTTAGATTGGAAGCTCCTTGGGGCAGGGACTGTCTTTTTGTTGGTGTTTGTACAGCACCTGGGCCATGATTGCGGCTCCTTGACGCTGCCACAATGCACATAAATACATTAATTATCCTAATTGTTATTAACAGAAGTGTTTTGGACATATAGTAATTTTTCTTTTCTATACAGCAAAGGGACAAAAGTGCCAGATTCCTTAATTATTTCTCACTCAGTTCTTTGGGCCAGAACCTCAGCAGGGGAAAACAGGCATCGCTCATATGATTTCAGTGGTACCGAGCTGATTTAAGCCAGCTGAGGATCTGAGCCGGTGTGGGGTGGGGAGGTATGACTACACTGAAGTCACGGGGTATGAGTGCAACTTGAGTTGCAACTTGCAATCTTTTAATCTAGCCTGGGTAATGACTTGCTGGGTTAGCCCATACTGCCATGGCTGTGCTGCTCTCGCACCAGAGCTAGCTAGCTTGAATCTGTCTAGTCGAGCTGCGACCAACCCTACTGCAGTATAGACATACCTGGGGAGTGTGTAGGCCAAAGAAACCAAAGGATTAATGATACCATGAAAAATATGTCAGAACAAGTACAAATCATTGCAAGAAAAGGCAACGCCAAGCCCACATTGCAACTGTTTGCAGTGTCCAGATAAGAGCTTAAGCTGGCAGGTAAGAGCCTTAAGAGTTTAAGCAGGACTTACATGAGGTACCTTCCCTCTGCAGGGCATGCATTTCACCCAGCCAGTCCCCCAAAGCAGCCGGAAACAGCTAAGATTTCCCAAGGGTCTGAGAACCTATTTTAAAAAATGATTATTGACCCTTTTTGCTAATATTGAAAATTCTTGGACAAGTTCCATAACAGCTCTCACAGATTCCCAGGCTGTCACACTGTGACCAGCCAGGCTGCCCTCCTGCAGGGTAGAAAACTTCCCTGAAATAATTTCCCAGCCAGTGACCATTGCCCATAACGCAGCATGCCCTCCCCTTTGCACAGACTCTTTGCTTGACAGAACAAAACAATCCGGGAGGTGGTATGCAGTCCAGCTTTCATGTGTGCAGCACCTTGAAACAGCGATCTTTACAAATACAAGCTAGGTTGTGTGGGTAATTTCTGTAATGCTGACGAGTGGAAGTTTTGTCTTTCAAAGCGAGAGAGTGGGTTTCTCCTGGACAGTGTCCTACCAACACAGACTAAGCAAAAACCAAAATAAAATGACAATTACCTGGCACAGGGCCCAATCCTGATTCACTTAGTGCTGAGCACACATAACTCTGGTGGCTGGTGAACTGCACCTCCCAGGATCAGGCCCAGCATTAGAATACTTTGTTCTGTGCATCAAGAAACAGCTCAGCAGTTATGGATGAGAGGCTGCTAGGCTAAATCCTGGTCCCTTTGAAATCAATAGCAAAACTCCCATTGACTTCACAAGCACCAGGATGGTCAGGGCTGGTTACATTTAATTAGTCTGGCTACTGCATTCTGCATTCTCATTAGAAACCAATGAGATGAACAGGAAGTGATGTGCACCGTGCCGTCTTCTTGGTGCAATGTTACCTCTGATTTGCTTCGGAAGCCCAAACATCTGGACAAGGGGAGCAAAGTGTAACCAGCGGGGTCAGGCAGTGGGCCTCTCTCCTTTTCCACCACATCTTGGGGACTGGTGTAGGCTTGACTTGTTTTCAAGTACGAATGTTCAGAAATAAATAGCAATATACATTCATTGAGGGAAACCCACTTTTAACCCTCGTGTGCTGCATGTTCATTTGGGTGAGGGTCTTACATCCGGAACAAGGGCCCTTTCTCTGGCATGGAAGGACTGGAACTTGTAGCTGGGGAGAATAAAGGCTGATTAGGGCTAGGACTTGAATTCATCCCAGTAGGAATATAATATAAACTCTCCATGTAGTTGCAGTCAGTGGCTTGAGTAGCTGGTGGAGCTTCGCCTTTTGGACTAGGGCTGAAGGTTTCAGTTACATTTGTATTTTCTTGACCGGGCTGTTGATTTGGCAGATCGGGATGGACAGATGGCATTGCCACAGGAGGAGGAGGAAACCCTGGGAATCCCGGATATGGTATGTAGGGAGGTCCGTAAACCCCTGGATTCATGACCAATGGGTTAAAAGGAGATGGGTAAAGCCTACTATGTGATGCCAAGGGGACTGGGGGTATCAACACTTCAAGGTACTGGCCTGTCTCTGGGTCATAGAGCATTTTCAGCTGCGGCTGTCTGGGAGGTTCCATGTAGTAGCACTTCCCGCTGTCTGGATCAATGAGCATTTTCCTGTGAGCCTGGGGCTGGGGAGCAAAAGACCTGGTGGGGCTAGGGACACTTCTACTGCCTGGTGAAACACCGTTGTTCCTCCTCAAGAAATTGGGTGAGTCGTTGACTCTGTGATGGGGCTGAACATGGCTTGGCCGGTCATTCACGGAGTGGTCTGCGGCTGCCTTGCCCTCTGGCGCTTTCAACTGTGGAGACTCATTGCTTATTGTGCTCACGGGTGCTTCCCCGCCTGGCTGGAAGAACACATTGGAACTGATCAAAGTGTGGTCTGGATGGGAGGGCACTAAGGGCTTAGAAGCTGCTTCGGGTTTTTGGGCTTTCATGGGAATTGTTAAATAGTTGGCATTCTCAGCATGGGTGGCTGTGAAATATTGCTCGTTTCCTGCCTGCTGTCTGTTCAAGTGATCCCAATTCTCCCTCTGATCTTGGAGCTTTCCAGCTGGTGGTGATGGTGCAGCAGAAGGAACTCCTGGTAGTCTGGTTTCTTCACTGTATTCCTTTGATCTCAAGGAGGCATTGGAATTGGCACACTCTGGAGACATGCGGGTTGCTGGCACAAACACCTGGCTATCCAACGGCCTGGGGGTATCAAACATTTTATTCTGGGCCTTCTGCTGATACGAACTGTTAACAGACTGATTGTTTGCTGGTGTGTTTGTGTGGGATGTTTGGGTACTTGTCACTGTTGGCTTTATGGGCTGTAGATGTCTGTAGCCTTCCTTGGTCTGTTCAGAGACATTGTTTTCTTCTTTTGGACTGACAGAAAAGTCTTGACTGTCACAAGGTGTCAGTGAAATGATCTCAGTGGATAAATCCTTCTGAAATGGCCACTCAGGCTCCTTGTGGGCGTGAGCCTCCTGAAAATGACCTGGCATGGTGGTTTTGCGATTGATGTCAGTGTGGTTCTTGGTGTCCTTAGGAGAGGCTGAAGATTGAAACAGAACAGCTTTGCTTTTTTCTAGCGAGTTGCAATTAGCTTGTGTCGATGAGTCTTTCGTAGCTCTTCCATCCGAAGCTGAGTAAGTTGGAGCAAGGAAGTGGTCAGCTTGTGTTCTGTGTGGATGCTTGGAAAGAGAACTGTTGACTTTAATATTAAGCTGGGATTCCATCTGAGGTGCTTTCCTCGTGGCTTTGGAACATGGTGTTACATTTAGCTCACTCCTCTCGTAACACACTGGTTTATTTTCAGGCTTTAGCTGGGGTTCTTCATTCCCAGCTACAACCTTCTTCTTGGACTGAATTTGAGTGATGTGGATGGGAGATTCACCCACTGCAGTGCATTTGTTTTCGGTAAGACTGACAGGTTCATCCACGTGGGGCTTAGTGACGGGGTTTAAAGCGGCATTGTGTTGCCGGTCACTCGCTCTCTGATCTGGTATGGAAAGCGCTGACACATCTAAGTTCAACTGCTGCTCCTGGTTTTTTCCATGTGAACGGGTCTTCGTTTGCACATCATCTTTGCGACACACTGAGGTGCAGTGTATAAACAGAGGGGAGGTTGCAGTGGACTCCTTTGTTGATAGGCTTATGCTATCCCCACTGTTGGTTTCTTGGTCTATATTGAAGCTGTCTGAAGATTTAAAGCACAAGTTATAGGTGTTCTTAACTAACTTTCTGACGTCCCTGGGCTGATGTATTCGCCCCCTCCCTTTACTCTCTGTCTTCTTGGCCTCTTGAGCACGCGATGCTTCAGGGGGGCTGCTTTTCCCATCGCTGCGTGATCTGCAGGAAGTGGGCAAAATGAGAGAGGAATACTTGGTGCTCTGCACTGCTGCTGGCCTCTTCTCCTCGGCACCTCCCTCCGGAGTCAGCTGCCTGGAGACATTCAGCATCTTCTGCTGCTGCTCGGGTTTGCTCTGTGGGATCAGTTTCATCTCCTGTGTTGTGGATGTGAAGATGTTCCTGGCTGGATCCCTGGGCACCACCAAACTTTTTGGCTTGAAGGAGACCTTCTCCTCTTTCCATGACGCGTGCTTGTTCTTGCTGATCGCTCGCTGCTTCAAACTGGGCCATGGCTTTTGTGCTTTGGAAAACGTCGGGGCAACACCCAAGCCTTTCACCTCAGCCTGCTTGGATTCAAACAGGGCACGAGCTCTCCAGTATTCTTTCCTCTCTCTGGCAACCTGCTTCCTGCAGTCGCCTGAATCCCTGTTCACGCCATCTGCCAAGATGGGGAGTGGCTTGGACTGGGTGGCTTCTTGAGACTTCAGTCTTTCATTCAGCTCGTTGAACGTCTTTTTCAGCTTGCAGACATTTTCCCTTTGCTGCTCGTTCAGCACTACCCCTTTGGTTGGCCGCATGGCATCAGTGCTTTCTTGGCTCATTGACTCAGACCTTTCGCTCATTGAATGACTCTGCAGATCTTCAGCTGAACAGCTGCAGTCGGACTTGGACAGAGAACTTGACTTCCCTTCCGTGAAATCCCCCACGAGGTCTGTACTTACGGAGGATGGTAAAGAAGAGATCGAGCTGCCCTGCATCGATTTCTGCTCCATTCTGATCCTCTGCTCGTACTGCATTTTCTTGGCCAGCACATTTTTCACCAGGCAGGAGGCCATCCTGGTTTTGCTGTACGAGTCGTCTAATGACGCTGTTCTCAGAAACTGTTTGTAGTTTATCCTGAATTCATTGCTGATGGTCCTGCCCTTTGGGCAGGGGTCGTTCCTGGGTGCTGCAAAGGGCTGCTGGTCAGCGCAGTCCCCTGCTCTGAGGAAATTCATCTCATTCCTGTCTCTCTGCTTGAGCTGGATCTGCCGCTTGGGCACGGTCCTCTTTTTGGAGTGGCCCTTTTTGCCGTCGGCGCTTTCCAGCACCACATCAACGCACTCGAACGGGTCCTTCCCGAATGAGTAACTGGGCGGATCTTTTTCTGGGACTTGGCTGGCAGCTGGGAATTGTCTGCTGCCCTTTGCCTGGCTGACCACCTCTGCTTTTCTCAGCTCATTACGCGTTGACCACCTGTTCATTCCATTACTGTCTTCTGACAAGGAATTGGACAAGCTAGACGATGTCCTGTTACTAGAACTGTACATATGTAGGGAACCACCGTGAGGGCACGAGAGGCTCCGGAACGACAGAGCAGTGAGCTTCTGAACTTCATTATCAGCCTCTTCGGAGTCGCTCCCAGCACTGGAGTTGTCAGCGTAATACTGGGGGCAGGGGGCCTTGCTAATCACAGGAGCTCTGCTGCCCTTCGTATTGCGCTCTTTGAGGAACATCTCCTTGGGTTTCGGTGCATTGAATCGTAAAGGCGAATCCAAATATTTAGACCCACTGTCTCCAGGCTGCAGCTCTCTTGTGGCTAGCCCCATCCTGCTGCTGTACCCTGGAACAGAGCTATTCTTAGCAGGGCCCGTGATTGACATCTGAACCTGTTGCTTCTCCTTGGCACTGAGGTAGTCTCTGTATCTGCAAACTTGATTGCTTGCTGCACACTCCCTGCCTGCCTGGGGGCTAAATGTTCTCTCAGCTGAGGTTGTTAAACTCCCCCCTGAAGCCTGGCTTCTATTTAAAGCTGAATGAACTACGGCCATAGAGGCAGCAGCACAAATATCACCAGCCTCTTTGCTATTTTTATCAGGCAGCTCCCATGTGGCTTTGTCAAAATCACTTGGTGTCCCATGTAGTTGCTCAGCTGGGTCCTCAGAAGTGCCCCTCCAAAAACCTTTCAGGCCAGCCAGGCTCTGTTCAGAAAGGCTCACCGGTGCAGTTTTGTTCTTGCGATGCAGATCGCTTTCATCAGCTGGGTCACCATCAGGCGGCTGGGTTAACAGAGTGTCCCCTTCATCTTCCAGAGATTCCACGCAGTCCTTAAAACTCTCCGCCGCCTCTGAGCACAGAGCAGTGTGGTAAGAAGAAACAGAGGAGTCCGATGTGTCCTTTAGGGAGTCCCCTTGGGACTGGCTAGGTGTGTGGCTGTTCTTTTCTGAAGCAGCTTCGTTGCATTCAGAGTCACTGAAGATCCCCTCCCCACTTAATCCATCAGGCTCAGGGGGCTGCCCTGGCCTAGAGAACTGGACAGTATTTCTTTTCACTGCGGGGATCATTTTTTATTCCCTGCAGCACATGCTAGGTTCAGAGGGGTCCATTTGAAACAATGCAACTCAGGCTCCACTTTATATTTGGTGGAGCTGGTGCTATTTCCCCTGAGACTTGAGAACCTGATCTTCTCCGGGGGCTCGTTTTCCATCCCCGCTGTTTGATACGGTCATAATAAAGAGCAAAACCCTGATCACATGCACATTATAGGTTGCCAGCCTAGGAAAGGAGAAACAAACAGATATCATATGCTAGCAGCACGACCGACAATAACTGGCCAGAGCTAAGGTATCAGTGATTTATTTTTGTTTTCAAGCAACGCAACTGAATGAAAAGTTCAGCTCGACCGTACGTGTTCAGGAAGCAGTTCCGAAATGCAGCCAGCTATAAACTATGCTCTGAGAAACAGCTGTGAGATGCAGCCCTAGCAAAATGCCAGCATGGTTCTCATGCACTGACTGCTCAGCTGCGAGGTACTGGGGGAGGCAGCACCCTTTCCATAATCTAACAGGTCTCTGCCTAGATGGCCCCTTTAATGTGCGGTGCTTTAGTGGCCGCCCTCCCAAAAACGGCCAGGATGCTGAGAACAATACTAAACATCCATGAATAAATCAGAGATAAAGATCATAGTATCATAGAAATGCAGGTCTTGACGGGACTTTGAGAGATCGTCTAGTCCAGCCCCCCGCACTGAGGCAGGACCAAGTAAAGTTAGACAATCCTTGACAGATGTTTGTCCAACCTGTTCTGAAAAACCTCCAGTGATGGGGATTCACAACCTTCCTTGGAAGCCTGTTCCAGAGCTTAACTAGCCTTCTGGTTAGTTTTTCCTAATATCTAACCTAAATCTCCCCTGCTGCAGATCAAGCCCATTACTTCTTGTCCTACCTTCAGTGGACATGGAGAACCATTGATCACCGTCCTTTTTATAACAGCCCGTAGCATATTTGAAGACTGTTATCCAGTTCCCCCATCAGTCTTCTTTTCTCAGGACTGAACATGCCCAGGTTTTTTATGTTACAAACAAGCGTTCACAAAAAAGTTCCCTTTATTATGAGTATTAGATACTCAGGTCCAAGGGGTTTGGATGCCCGATTCCCATTAAAATTAACAGGAACCAGGCATCTCTCAACCCCCCTAGACTGTTCTGAAAGCCTTAGCCTCAAAATTCATTCTGTAACAACACAAGCCCCTTAAAGCTGGATCATTTCCAGCTGTACTTTTCAAGTAAATTATTAAAATGTTTTATTAGTGAAAAAATCTGAGCCCTTTGGGGCAGCTCTTGTGCCGTGTAATATCACTGCAGGGTGAAATTTTCCAAAGCACCTAAGTGACTTAGATCCATATCTAGATTTTAAAGCCAGAAGGGATCGTTGTGATCGCCTAGTCTGACCTCCTGCATAACACAGGCCATAGAACTTCCCTGAATTAATTCCTGTTTCAATTCCAGTAGCTGTGGCAGATCTAGAGCATATTTTGATGTATTGAGGGCTGTACTGGAATTTCACGCTATCGCTTTAAGACTGTGGGGGGCTTTTTAGTCCTGCTGGCAGGCTAGGGGGCTCGGTAAGGAAGCCTCAAAGTGTACGATCAGAGTCAGTCTGAAAAGGTTGAGTTTAAGGAAAGGTGGGGTGAGTTGTGCCTCTCTCTGCCTTACAGAGCAGCCTGTTTTCTCTCTCTTGGTTTTTGGGATCAAGTGTGTACTCATTCTGAATTTTAAGACAGAAAGTAGTGGTATGTTGCAAGCTTCCAGCAAGAGTATGCATATTTTTTATCTAACTTCGCAGTGTGCGTGCCGTGAACATAACACACAGCTTTTAGAGAAAGACCCAGTCTTGATTGAAAGATTTCTAGTGATGGAGAATCCACCACAACTCTCTCCAGAGGATTTAGGCACCTAGGTGCAGATTTTAAAGGGGTTTAGGTGCCTAACTCCCACTGAGAATTAGGGGTCTATAAACCTTTGAGGATCTGGCTGTTAGGTGCCAAAGTACTATTGACTTTTAATGAGATTTAGGCCTTGAAGTGCACAAGGTGCTTTTGAAAAAACCTGAGTATAATTATAATACTAATGATGGTTAATCATAGATAAGCACTTTCATTAATCAACAGGCTGAGTTTCATTTTTGCCTTTCAAAAGAATACCCAGTAGGGAGAAAGACCCTCTCACAAGCAAGCAGTGCCATTAGCTGAGCTTTTCTCATTTTCATCCAGCAAATTGATTTTACTGAGTATCAGCACCTTCATAGGTATGTCCTCCTAATGCTAATCTGTAGCCCGAGGGTTCCCAAGTGCATATTTATTTTGCAACTATCATTGTGGGATTGCACTCAAAACTGCACAGACAGTGAAGAAAGTAATTTCAGTGTGAACGATTGTTATTGATTAATAAGAATGTATTGATACATCTCAGTGTTACAGAGATCTGGCCTCGGCCTGCCAAACCTTACTCGGGTAAGTAGTGGTTGCTCATGCAGGCAGGCCCTTTGGAGTGAATGGCTTGTGTGTAAGGATTACTCATCTGAGGAGGGATTTTTTACGATCAAGCCAGAGGCAGGATTACAGAGGCAGGTAGAAACAGGCCCTGTGCTGGGAATGTGACAGATCCCTTTACAAACAGCAGTTCAGAACCAGCTTCTCAGGGAGGGCCTGGATGGCGTTTTAAAATTACAGATGCTTGGCAAACTGGCCCGCCAGGACCACTGCTCTGTCTCTAGAGAGACAGAACGCAGCTATCGATTGTACATGGAGGAAATGTTTCATTTGGAAGGAGATATTGACTTAACACCTCTGGATTAGCTCATACCCATGACCTCCCCCGACTGCTCAGGCCCAGACCCTTCCTGGCCCTACAGGGTCTGCATGGAGGGCAGGGTCCAAGGAGATCCTGAGTGAGGGCCAGGCAGAATTACAGTCCCCGAGCGCAGGCCAGAGCCCAAAGGAGTGGAGACACCTTGAGAAGAGGCGGCAACAGGGCTCCATCTCCCATCCCCCACTATTTTGTGTCGAGTGGGTACACTGGCTGTGTGCAGGGGCATTCTTCTTACTTGAGGCAAAATGCCTCTCATTCAGGGCTTAGAAAAAACAACAATTATTTTTCATGGGAAATGTTGAAAATTTTTCATTAAAATGGTTTTTTTTTAAACCAGTGAAAGTTTTGTTGGGTTTCCAACAAAAAACGGAACCCCCCTCCCCCCTCCAAATGTGCGGGTTTTGATAAACAATTTTCAGTAAAACATGTTCAGTTTTCAAAAACAAGAATGAGACAATCTCTACCAAAGCCCACAATACTTTTTGCTGATATTTTTTCAATTTCCGGGTTTCTCAATGAAAAACTGGCCAATTTTGAGCAAAATAATTTTTTTTAATGAAAAAATGTTTTAATGAAACAATATCCAGCTGCTCCAAGGGGGCAGTGCCTGTCCCTTGCTGTGGATTTTGCTTACAAGCCACATCAAACCCGCCATTAGTCTGTGTTGCTTCCACTGAAGGCCGGGGGATAGTTTGCCATTGATTTCAAGGGGAGCAGGAGTAGGGCCATTAGTTCTGTAGTCAGGAAAAACTCTCATTGTTTGCAATGGGAACAGGATCGGGCCCTAGGAGAGGCGCATGGGATCTGGCCCTTAGATAGCTCAGAACAGGATAAAAGTTGGACTCAAAGCCTCAATCTGAACCCTGCTGGACGTTGAGGTCATTTGGATCCAGATCCAGGGCTGAACCCTGCAATTCAAACCCATCTCTAAACCGGAGGGTCACTTTGAGTTGTATTTATTTCCCTTTCTCTAAGAGATGAAGGATAACAGAGCAGCTGCCTTTTTGCAGCTCAGGGCACCCTTGGCAATATTTATAAATACAAGTATTATCACTACGGATCCTTTGGTTTTCTCTCGCTCCCCCAACCAGTAATGGCCTGACAAAAAGCAGGCACTGGGACTCCCCTCCACCCCACCAAAAAAAGCCAGGCAATAGATATGTTTTGCAGCATGCAAGGACAACAGATGTAGATGCTTTTGGACCAAGTTCTCAAGTTGAGGGCCCTTGCAGACAACACCCTGCTAGGACCCCCCTCTTTTTTTATATGTGGGGATCTCTGGCTTATTTTGCCTAGGCACTGACAGAAGGAAATCCACAGTTAAAATCAGTTGCACCAGGATCATTTATTTAATGTGGCTTTTCTGCATCGCTCATTTCAGAGATGCCTTTCTCCCCTCGCCCCTCCCCCCGTCCTCTGAAGACAAAACTCTATTCACAAGTGACTGCTAAATTAAGAAGGTTAAAATTACCTTTGGAAGTACTCAGGGTACTGTGGCAAGTAACGTGTGTTCTTGTGAGCATTTCAGTGTCCAGATGCCAAAGGCTTTACCCAGCTCCCCGAACATCAGTACCATAGTGAAATAAAGCTGAGACTGTTAAGAGTACATCTGACACTGACTTAGACAGTCATGTCATAGCAGAGGGATCCAACCACACCATTCCCAAAGTGGGTGCCAAACTTGTCTCAATGCCAAGAATGTATTCTGTCTCTGCAGAGCTTGAAACCAAATCTGCCTTTGGAGCAGACAGCTCCAAGCTCATCCATGTTTAGAAAAAGTTGCGTGAAGAAAGATCTTCTTGATTGGGTTCAAAGCACGTGAATCTGCATCTGAACATCAATGAGACTATGCAGAAGTGTCAGCTTCATAGCTATAAAATCAGATGTACTAGACTGGTCTTACTGGAGATTATGATCTGGGTTGTTGTTGTTTGTTAATATAGATCAGCAAAATAACAGCGGCAGGTGCTGATGCATCAGAGCTGTGCCAGATTTAGAAGTAACTGGAGACTCCTGTTCAATTGAGTTCACATAGGGGACTAAATATAACTCTTAGCAATTAAAAAAAGACGTTACTAGAAATAACTGTCAGGGTGATTAACTCTTCTGTATTCAAACAAACTGCAAATTGTTTGCTTTGCTTGGTCACCGGGTTATTTTAGGTGCAGCCTTTGGGGCCTGACCCTCCAGGGTGCTGAAGTCTATGGGAGTTGACGGAGCTCATCAGTTTGAAGCAGGATCTTCAGAATCAGGGCTACATACTCAGCCAACTCTTACTGGAGGAGTCGCCTCCTGCAGTCAATTCCTTTGCCAGAGACATGCCTGGAGCCTGACAGACATGCTAGCCGCAGTGAACTGTATTGTATGGTTGTAGGAAGGGATTTTCAGACATCTGCGCAATTTGGGTTTGAAAATCCCTGTTCTGAAGCATACATTTGGGGCACCTGGTCCTTATGAGAATGTCCTATAGATTTTAACAAGGAAGGAATTAAGAAGTTTCTATAGAAAGGACTCTCAAACCTACAGAGCTTAATAGCGAATAAGGTCCTTTCCATAGTTTTTTTAAACCGTCCTATAGAATTCTGTAGCAGGGATAGAATTCCCTATTAAAGTCTGTGGGATGGTATGACAAGCACTATAGAAAGTTGATTTTCCTCTATGAAACTCTACAAGAAATGTCCAGAAAGGACAATAAGCTAAAGCAACCAGATCATTATTGACACTGTTCTTTTGGTATTTTTCACCCAATCATTATTATTTTACATCCAAATAGTTGTATTATTTTTTAAGACTAGAGAAACAGATCCTGCAGGAGCTCAATGCACTGAAGGCCTGCAGTGGGTTGGGCCCATGATGCATAATGACAATAGGTTAATAAAGCTAAATGACAGAGCAGCATTATGCCCTTGTCTTGCTCAGCCTAGCAGAGGAGTAAGGCACCTCACAGCTTTGCTCAGCCTACCTGGGTCCAGGGTTTCTGAGACTATGGTGACGAGGGCCATGTAAGCACACGACAGACAGACCGATTGAGCCTGGTGTGGGATGGAGCCCCTACCCTCTGCAATTCTCGTGGGTAAGGAAGTGTGAGAGGAGAAGCAGAGCCAAAGCTCCCAACCACTCCCCTGAGAGTGGCTGGTCAGACATAATGAGGGAGTAAGCTGCAGCCTAAGGAACCAGGAAAGGAAATGTGCCTCTGAGGGCAGTCTCTGCAGCATAGGACCTCCCTAGGCTGCTTCTGGGGGTAAGGCGTGGTGTCATTTATGAATCTCACCTTGCTCAGGTCTCAGTCTGAAGGTACAATCTAGCCCACAGTAAACCTGCCATAAATAAGAAACACCTATTCTGATTGGCCATCAGTCTCCACTCACAAAACAGCCTTGAGCTGCTGGAATCCTTCTGGCTTCGGAGGACACAAGTCAATGAGAGTGTGTGAGCCCATATTACCATCTAGCTTTATCAAAAAGCTGCAGAGCTCTAAACATGGGCGCGCCAGAGCGAGATCTGTAAACCCGGGCTCCAGACGGCAGCCACTTTGAATGCCCCAAACTCACAAAGCCCTCGCTCACTTCTCGAGGTGGTGGGAAGGCTCAGATACACCAAGTGTGGCCAGGGAAACAGAGGAAGCGACTAAGCAGAAGGCATATGAAAGGCCCATAAACTTCCCCTCGGGTAGTTTATGGGCCTTTCATATGCCTTCTGCTTAGTCGCAGTGCCACACAAGGATGCATGTACGACTAAACGAGTTGGTCGCAGGATCTGTCCATGCAGCTCAGCCCTTTAAAGATCTCCACTATTCTGGGGGCAGCCTGGGGCAGGCAGCTAAGCATAGACAAAGAGAGCCATGCTGGAGTCGAAAAAAAAGACAAGCTTGGAGGAAAACCACAGGCCTAAATCCTATTGATCTCTGCTGCATCCTAGTAAAGAAGACACCTTAAAAAGGCAGCTCTGAGTCTGAGTGCCCTGCACACCCGTTTCCTTAGGTTTCTTTCAGATAGGGTGACCAGACAGCAAGTGTGAAAAATCAGGACGGGGATGGGGGGGTAATAGGAACCTATACAAGAAAAAGACCCAAAAATCAGGACCGTCCCTATAAAACCGGGACATCTGGTCACCCTACTTTCAGAGTCAATTAACAAGGTGTCACGCTCGTCCTAGGATCTCAGAGCCCCTTGCAAACGTCCAGTAATTTTTGAGAAGGAGTCCAGACCAGAATCAGTAAGACCCCATCCCAGAGCAAGCCCAAATGCCCTTCAGCGCAGGCGGCAAGGCCCATCTGTGCCCTCAGGCTGGGCTGGAGGGGGAGTTTGGGGTCTGCTGAGTCACTGTTGTGCCGAGTGCTCAGGACTTGACGTGGTGCCAAAGAAGCTGTGCTGTGTTAAAACCGATGCCCATGCAGCTAGAGGCTGCGATGGACACAGCTGATACCAACTAAACAAGCACATAAAGAAATGGGCCCGATCCTGCTAAAAGTTGCCTGAGCTTCACTGCGGCGCTGCCTGCGCATGGGAGCTCTGCTGCACACATCTCTTTGCAGCATCAGGGACTGTGTTTTTTGCAGCTGCAGGAAATGCAGCACGGAGTGCGTGAGTGACTCGCCCAGGCTCGCAGAGCGAGTCTGGGGCAGAGCTGCGAGCAGAACCCAGGAGTCCTAGCATCCAGTCCTCTGCCCTAACCACTCGATGACACAGGCAGCAAGGAGTCGTGGCGCCAGCCTGCAGGCCTCCTGGGCATGCCAGGTAGGACTGGTGGGCAAACGCTTCCCCCAGTCACACTGATGGAAAGGTGGCGTACAGCGTCACATAGGCATTGCCAGCATGGACCAGCCCTGCAGTCCAGCCACTCCACTGCCAGCAGCAGATGCTTCAGAAGAAGGTGCAAGAATCTCCCTAGTGGAAAATTATGGAATAACCTGTCCCTGGGGCAAGTTTTCCCCGACCGTTAGTGCCTGGCTTGTGCTAAAGTCTGGGGCTGAGAGCCTCTAGCAATGCTTTCTGCAATCGTGTGTACCTGTGAATGTCCCCGGCCAAATGACCAGAGAGCGTACCTCTGACAACTAAGGGATGTTGCTGGGGGTGGGGAGCAGGGAGAGGGACTGGCCTCCAGAAGTTCCAGTCACTGACGAGAGGAGGCAATCAGTGCTGGCCAGCGCTGGAACGTCACCGAGGGAGCCGTCTACCTAACGTGTTGTTCAACGTGTATTACACACGAAAAACGGCTAAAAGAACTTTGACATTACAGCGTCCTGCCCTCAGCAATTAGGAAGTTACCCAAGCCTGATCCCTTCTGCTCCTGGCCCCTCCCACCTACCCTTGTCCCAGACCCAATCTTCTTCCCAGCCCCCTCAGTTTGTAGTCCTAATCCCAGTCTCCCCTTCACCTCTCCCCCCTTGGCTCTGTGTGCCACTCCCAGATACCCTCTGCCTCGGCCCAACCTCCTAATCCGAGGTCCCACCTCAGCTCCATAGCCTGGGTCCCCATCCTACCTCCTTCAGCTCCTCTTCCCAGCCACTCCACCGGCTCTTTTTCCCAGTCTCCCCCCATCCCTCTGGCCCCTTGCCCCAGTCTCACCACCTTTCTTCTCCTCTCTGCCTGGGCACCAGCCAGGGGCATAGACACCAAGGAGACAGGCTCTCAGCTCTCACTTCCAGTCAGGGCTGGCTCCAGGCACCAGCCAACCAAGCATGTGCTTGGGGCGGCGCCTGGAGGGGGGCGGCGCGGCGGGGCGCTCCGGCCCGAGAGCGGGGCCACGACTGGGCTCGCCGCCCTCCCCGTGGCGCTCTGGCCACTGGGGAGAGCGGAGCCGCAGCGAGCTCGCTGCCCTCCCCCCGGTGCTCCGGCCGGTCGGGGAGAGCTGCGGCGGGCTTGCCACCCTCCCCTCAGCGCTCTGGCCGCCGGGGGCTCGCCGCCCTCCCCCTGGCGCTCTGGCCGCCGGGGAGAGCGGAGAGCCCCGGCCGGGCTCACTGCCCTCCCCCCGGTGCTCTGGCCAGATAGTGCCATTGTGAAGTAGCCTCTTGTTCAGCACAAAGGGTGATTTCATGTCACCATCATTGGGGTGGGGAGAGCTAGGAGCCCAAAAGTGCTACTGAAGGTGACCTTTTATAAACAGCCTAGAAGAGTTAAGAGCTGAGGCAGCATGGCTCTCACAAGCTTTCAAAGTGGATTGATTGCTTTGTTCAATTCCCGTTCGCCTCTCCAGGATGAATAACATCACACAGAGTGCAGAGGAAGAATGAACGTGGGAGTGGGACAGATTTGGGCTTGGGACATACAGCCTGTTACATCAAAAGGACCCAGCTGGCTCAGCACTCAATCCTTGATCCCCAGCGTTTGATTTCTGAACTCAGTGCCAGAAAAAGGGAGAGCATTTTAGAATCTGCCCCTTTTCATCGCAAGCCGCTTTGTTCAGCTCTCATGCTGGAGGAACACGAAATACTTGCCCATAAAGATCTCTCCATTGCCCCATCCTTGCTGCATTAGTAGGAGGACAGACCGTCTGTAACTGGGTCAGGTTCTTCTTCTGTAATTATATGTGTGAGCTCATCACAGCTGGCCATCTGTGAGCGCCTGCTTATGTATTAAATAGTCATCAATGTTCCTTTCTCCGGGGTGTTTCAGCAAAGGCTCTCATGACATGTTACAGACATTAATAAAGAAATCCTCACAGTGCTCCAGGAGGTAAGGCAGGGACACGCATGCCACTCAACAGAATCCCCTTTGGTGTGGACGTGATAGTTGTTAACAGCATCCACAACACCACAAAGCAGTTTTAGGAATAATGAGCCAGAACCTTGGCTACGGCATTGCTCCCTTCCTGTCCGGGGCGCTACACAGTTGGAGATTTGGCCCCCCAAGACTTCAGGTAGCAGACAGGAATTAATCAAGGGGAAAGTTGGCCAGGACACTGTTTGTACAGACCCCACATCACATAAGCATGTGCTTAAGACCTAAGGCCCAGCTCCTCAAAGGTACTGGGGAGCCCAAAGCCCTTTGAGCATGTGGGGCTACATCCTTTTCTGAACTGGGCCTGAAGGGCTGGTCTATGCGGGACATTATTGTGCAGCAAGCCGGGGTGTGACTCTCCAGTGCACCAGCCTGCCGTGCAGTAACATCCCGTCCGGACACTGCTACAGAGCACTGTGCTGTAGACTCACACCCTGGCTTGCTGCAGAGTAACATCCCATGTAGACACACCAGAGTGCCGCAGGATTGTAGTGAGCACAAGGGACCAGGCTTTGGGGTTTATATTTCTTCTGAAGGAAAGCAGCACAGTGCCCTCTACCCTCCTGCTGGTGCTTTGGTGACTAAGGGTACGTCCACACTGCAAAGTAAACCCATGCTTGAGCCTGGGTTCAAGCCTAATCCCCCTTGAGTCTACACTGCAATTGCACTAATCCAGGGCTCAGACTCAGGGTGCCAGGACCCTGCAGGGCTGGAGGTCCGTGCTTGAGTTAAACTGGGACCTAGGGTCCAAGCTCTATTGCTTTGAAGTGTATACACTGTTCCACTTGACGCTGGTCCCAGGAGTCAGCTGGAAGTATCCCACAATTCCATGGGACAACTTCCTCAGTCCTCTCTAGCCCAACAATCAGGGGCGGCTCTAGCTTTTTTGCTGCCCCAAGCACAGCAGGCAGGCTGCCTTTGGCGGCATGCCTGCGGGAGGTCCCCGGTCCCGCGGATTTGGCGGCATGCCTGCGGGAGGTCCACCGGTCCCGTGGCTTCGGTGTACTCGCCGCCGAATTGCCACCGAATCCGCGGGACCGGCGGACCTCCCACAGGCATGCTGCTGAAGGCTGCCTGACTGCCGCTGTCGCAGGGACCGGCAGGGCACCCCCCGCAGCTTGCCGCCCCAGGCACGCACTTGGAGCGCTGGTGCCTGGAGCCTCCACTGCCAACAATCTGCAATGCACATTATTGATAACAAAAGCTCCTTCCCACTCTGTGAATGACAGCTGCTCAGGTCAGCATTAACCCATTTTCTGCTGAGCACTGATCGGCAAGCACACTACAGAGAGCCTCTGGGCTTTGCAATGGAGAGTGAAGCCATCAAACCTTTTGCAAAGGGAGCTGCTTCAAACCACCTGTAACGTGCAGGGTGGGCAGTAAAGTTTTCCCACAGTGCATCATGGTCCTAGGATGAGAAAGGCCATATTTTCGGGGGAGAGCAAGAATGCTAGGGACTCTGGGATATGGTTATTTTGACTCCGGTCTGTGCTCTGCAGTGTGGAAGACAAAGCCCTAGATTCGAGCATAGGTTTAAAATGTCTTAATGTAGGGTTAAAATACAGTGTAGCTGCTTAAGCCCCGGGTTCGCTAATGTGGGTCAGCTGACGCGAAGCCCGCTAAGCCTGGGCTCATGTTGCAGTGGAGACATAGGTGAGGGAAGCGCTCTGTGCACTGACTCACCTGCATGGCCAAGCCTGTCTGCTGTGAACTCTGCAGAATGCCCTTTGCAGCCACGTGTGTTAGACTCAGGGCCCTCTGCACGTAGCCTGTCAGAGAAAGAAGGTGACATTATTGTGCTCTAGATACCCCAGGGTAATGGTGGAGTAACATCACTGAAGTCACTTGTGTAAAAGGAGTGGCTGTAGCCCAGTGTGTTCA